GTGTGACACCCACGTCCTCCCGCCTCGGTGACGCCGGTGACCCCTGGTATCAGGGGGCAGGGATCCTCAGGCGCTGGCACAGTGACAGCTGCCCCGATCACTGTTGCCTTGAGGAGCAGGAGGAGCTGGCAGGAGGAGTTGTGCCCACTGCAGGAAGGACAAGAGAAAGGGGAGCAGGTGGTGCTGGGAAAGCCGTGCCCAGCCAAAAATCCCTCTGGTAGCTCAGGGCAGGGCAGTTCCCAGCCCAGAATCTTGCTGTGCTTCTATCAGCTGATTTCCCTCTGGGGCAGATGGTGTTTCTTCCTCTGACTGCTCAGACAGCGGGAAAGCTTCCTTTGTGGAAAGCAACCAGGGCAAAAGGCTCCACCTCCCACGGCTGCTGTGCCTGTCCCGCTCTGCAGGGAGCCGAGCTGGTGACTCTGTGCCTCCCTCCTGCCAACACATGCTGTACCTGCAGCCAGCTGGGCACCTGCCGGCAGCAAGGAGCACCTGGCAGCAGCACTCCCCAGTGGGGGTGAGTCCTGGCCGAGCTCCTGAGCTGCCCCAGAGCAGCAAAGCCCCCTCCTCACACCCTCCCTGCCCCCTCAGACACCCTGAGCGCAGACTGGCAGAGGCCCCAGGAGCCAAGCAGGGCACAGTCCCCCTCCCCAGGACCTGGGTGACGGCTGTGAGGGTGCTCAGGGCTACGGGCCGTGGTGCTGCTCCAGCTGTGCCACCGCCTGCAGCAGGTCCTGCACCGCCAGCTCCACGTCTGCGCGCGAGGTGTCCCGGCCCACGCTGAGCCGCAGGGCGTTCTGTGCCACGGCGGGTGGGATCCCACAGCCCAGCAGCACCGGGGAGGGCCTGCCACACAAGGGGAGAGTGGGTTCAACTGAAGGCCAAGGAAGCACACACACCACCAGGAACCTCCCCAGGCCGTAGGAAGAAGCCCATGTGCTCCAGGCAAACCTGTCTCCTGCACAGCACCCTGACTGCTGTCCAAGGGGCACTTGCTCTCACTGGGCTTGTTGCCCTACGGTGGATCTGGCTCTTCCCCTCCCAGGAAGAACCCGTGCCGTGTCCCCGTGGACTGGCAGCTCTGCCATATCTAAAGAGCACTGCTCTAAACCAGGCCAAAAGCAGCTGCTGTTCCCACCTTCCCCAGAGGAGCCATCTGGAGACCCAAACTGGGCTGCAGTGAGTGAGGCAGACACACAGGGATATAAGGCAGGCTCCTTTCTGGCAGCGACACGAGTTCCAAAGTACTCCCCAGCTCAGCTGGATCACCAAAGCTGGGAAGGACAAAGTCCTTCCAAGCAGCAATGAAGCATTCCAACTGTGTCTCCTACAACAGTCCCCTTCCCGGCCCTTCAGCCCTCTAGAAAGCTCTGCACCCTCTCTGCTCCAGGTGATGCTGCCCAAGCCCCCCTCTGCCCCATTTCCCTCCCTCCTGCCCACTGTTCCCATGGCAGACCCCGGGCCTGGAGCAGCCAGCACTTACCGCTCTCCCTTGTCCGAGTGGCAGGCAGCCCCCACGCTGGCCAGCAGCACCTTGCAGTGAGCCAGCACCCTGTGCCCTGCAGTGACACAGCACAGCTCTGCTCTGTGCCAGGGCCACCCTGCCCCACAGCCACCCAGCCCCACAGTCCTGCCAGTGCCACAGAGGGAACAGGGGCTGAGCCACAGGGGCTGGGAGCGGCAGGGGCTTTGGCTCCGTGGGCACAGCACAGGTCAGTGGTGGGGGAAGAGCTACCTTGGAGACCTGGTCCCAGGATGGAGAAGTTAGAGGTGTTGCAAAGTCGCTTGGAGTCCTTGAAGCGACTGTTGAAGTGGATTCTCTCCTTCCCAAAGGAGGCCTGGAGAAATCATAGGGCTGTGGACCCCCAAGGTTCACGAGCAGCTCTGCCCTGACGAGGGGATGGCAGGACCAGAGGGACATAACCCACCCTGCTCCAGACCCTGCTCTGCAGGCTGAGACCCCAGGAAGGGCCCAGGTGTGCTCACCTCCAGCCTGGCCTCCAGGTAATCCCGGACATCCCGCATATGAGCCTCGTAGGCCTCCCAGTTCATGCTCACCAACTCTGCAGCCTGAGGAGAGAAAATCCCAACACTCTGACACCTCCCCCTATGTGTGGTCCCTGGAATGGGAGTCCAGACTAGAACAGCCTCTGTGATTGCCAGTCCACTGTGTCCCCCACGGCCCCTCGGTGCCCTGAGCTGTGTGACTGCCAGGGCTGCAAACCTGCAGCAAGTGCCCCAAAGCACCTCCTCCCACTGGCACCAGAAACCTGCATCTCCTTCCCTGTAGTTCTCCTGCTCTCCTGCACACTAAGTTTGTCACTTCTAATGATCAGGGGCACAAGTGGCTGTCCCTGTGCTGGTTCTGCCAGGAAGCACCTGCAGGGAACCACTTCAGCCCTGTCCATCACCGGCTCACCTGGCCCAGGCCAGCAATCATCGGGGTGTTCTCGGTGCTGGAAGGAAAGAGGGAAGAGTGAGTTATTTCTCCAGACAAGAAACCCAACCTGTGGCACAGACATTCCCTGTGTGAGACCCCTCAAGCGCTGGCACTTCTCTGGGAAGGGGGCAGTTCCACCCTGGGGTCCCACCTGTGGTGAAGCCTGAGCCCCAGGGAGTTCCACACACGGATGTGTGTCCCTGCTGTGCCGGGCTGCTCGCCCCAAGGCTGGCAGTGCCACAGCTGCCAGCTCAGCTCAGACAAAGCAGCCACCTGTGGCTTGGCCACCAGCCCCAGCTCCCGGGCCACCCCCTGCCACCTTACCCTGGGCGGAAGCTCCTCTCCTGTCCCCCCCCGAAGAGCAGGGGGTGCAGGGGGGCCGTGGTGCCGGGGCCGCGCACGTACAGGGCACCGATGCGGGGGCCGTAGAACTGTGGGACAGACAGCACTGTGACCTGGGGACACTGCCACCCCCTCCTGTGCTCCTGCACATACCCACTGCCCTCCAGGGCTGGCCCCTGCCCATCCCACAGGCACAGACCACTGCAGGGCTGTTCCCCGTTCCTGGTCATCTCCTGCTCCCCGCTCCAGACAGGGCCCTGACCCGCAGGGTCTGCACAGCCCCCGCCGTGCTTTGGCCACTGACGGGGTACCAGGGTACCCTCAAAGATCCCCTGGCACCACCCAGAGATGTCTGAGGGGGTGAACAGCAGGTGGGCCACGTGAACAGGGCCACACCCTGTGTCCCCCCGTGGTGAGGAGGGGCTGTACCTGTGTCCCCACGGTGAGGAGGGACCGTACCTTGTGCCCCACGATGGTGAGATAGTCCACGCCCAGCTCCTGCACGTCCACGCGCCCCTTGCCGATCATCTGGGCCGCATCCGTGTGCAGCAGCACCCGGGGCAGCCCCTGCCCCGCCCGGCGCTGGTTGAGGGCTCGGACGCGCTGGCTCAGCTCTGCCACAGGCTGTGGAGGGTGAGGGGCTGTGTGCAGGGCCCTCCTCTCCCTGCTCAGGCACCTCTGTGCGGGGCTGCCCCACACTCACCATGATGACGCCGGTCTCGTTGTTGGCCAACATGAGGGACACCAGGCAGGTGTTGGGCCGGATGGCGGCGAGGACATCGTCCACCTCGGCCCGCCCGCTCTGCGGGGACACGGGCACAAAGGTGGCCTCTGCGGGCAGGGAACAAGCGTGACGTTTGCTGGGAGCCCCAGGGCGCCGGGACTGCCTGCACCCCACCGGGCAGGGCGGGAGTGCAGGGCAGCAGGGGCACAGGTAGAGAACACGTTCCTGAGGGAGTGGGGCACCACTGGGGCAGTCACAGCCCTTTTGGGGGGAATGGAAACAGCGTGGAGCTCATAGGTCCCACCCTCCTCCACAGAAATGCCTGTCGAAAGAATTCCCCCGTGCAAAGCCCACCCTGCCCCTGTGCCATCCACCTGCCAGGCTGTCCCTGCCCAGCTGCTCCAGGGGCAGGCGGATGGAGTCGTGCTCCACGCTGGATGTCACAATGTGCGGTGTTCCCGGGCTGTCCCCGGGCTGGCTCTCGAAGAAGTGCCTGCGGGCGGTGTGGATCACCATGTTGTTGGCCTGGTGACAGGAAGCAGAGGGAGGTGAAGGCTCAGAAGGAGCAGGTGCCCTTTGTCCCCACCAACCCCACCGCTGTTTGCTGGGGAGGGGCTCGGGGCTCAGTGCTCCCACCTCCGTGCCCCCTGAGGTGAACACGATGTCCTCAGGCCAGGCCCCCACCATCCGTGCCAGGCTCTCCCTGGCGCTGCTGATCAGCTCCTTGGCCTTCCTGCCTGTGGGACAACAACCAGCAGCTCCCGTGGCCCCCAGACACGGGTCTGGCCCAGGGAACCCCCTCCATCCCCCCCGGTCCTTACCTGCGGGGTGGGCACTGCTGGGGTTGCCCCAAGCCTGGCTCAGGGCATTCTGCACGGCCTGGGCTACCTCGGGAGCCAGCGGGGTGGTGGCGTTGTGGTCCAGGTACACCCTCCTGTGGGGCAGGGGGCAGATGAGGGGCACTGGGGGGCACAGGGGGGGACGGGACAGGGCAGGGCAGGGCAGGGTCTCACCCCTCAGCCGGGTCACCACGCGCCTCCGCCGACTCTGTCACAGCGCCCATCGCAGTCCTGTCCTGCTGCCAGCACTGCCCGAGTCCTGCCCTGGCTCCACCCTGGCACCCAGGCACGGACACGTGGGCACCACGGCAGGGACCAGGACCTGCCCTGCCCGTACCAGCCCCACCAGTCAGCTGCCTCCTGCCCGTAGCACCCACCAATCAGCTGCCTCCTGCCCGTAGCACCCACCAATCAGCTGCCTCCTGCCTGTACCAGCACCCACCAATCAGCTGCCTCCTGCCTGTACCAGCACCCACCAATCAGCTGCCTCCTGCCTGTACCAGCACCCACCAATCAGCTGCCTCCTGTCCGTGCCAGCCCCACCAATCAGCTCCTCCGTCACAGCCGCGCTCCCCGGCCGCTCTCACGCGCCGTTCCCGCAGGCCGCGGCGGAAGGGGCGGGGCCAGGCGCTCGCGGTTCCGGTGCACGGGGGCGGTTCCGGCGGGGGCGGAAGTGGCGGCGCTGCCCCAGTGCAAGATGGCGGCGGCTCGGCCGGGCCCGGCCCCGCGCAGGCCCCGCGCGTCCCCACGCGCCGTGCCGGTGAGCGAGGGGCGGGAGCGGGGCCGGGGCCCTCTCTCGGCACCGGGGCCCTCTCTCGGCACCGGGGCCGTCACTCGGCACCGCGGGCCCCGACACCCCGCCCGGCCCGGCGGCACCTGCGCGGGGCCGTGCCGGGGGCGGCCGCGCCGCGTGGGTGCGGGCCGGGCCGGGCCGGGCCGGGGCTGAGCGGGGCCTCGGGCGCCGCGGGCCAGGCCGGGCCCGCTCTCCCCGCGGTGTGCCGGCATTCCTAACCCGGCGCGGGGCGCGGCACCGCCGGGTGCTGGCTCACGCTCCGTATTAGGCTCGGAGCCGCTGCGGGCAGCGATCGGCCCGCCTGCAGAGCCGGGCGGGGGCCGGGCCGGCGCTCCGGCCGCACGGGGCCCAGAGCCCCGCTCTCACCGGGGGCCTGTGCGGGAACACGGCTCCCCTGACACCCCTCTCCTCTCGCTCATCCCCAGGTCCCGTGGTAGCCTCCGCACCTGAGCAGGGATGGAAGCACTGGACACCGAGGTGCGGGCACGCAAGACTCTGGGCAATGTGGAGTACGTGGAGTCGTCGGGCTTCGCGCAGGGGGTGCTGCCCACCAGGAAGGATGTGGTGCAGAACATGCTGTACCTGCTGCAGCCCAAGAGGGCCGGCCAGGCGCAGCGCTCCAAGGAGGACGCGGCACAGCTGCTGGCAGAGCACCTGCAGGAGCACTGGCTGGTCTGCAACCTGCACACCATCGCCACGCAGAACATAAAGAAACTCATCCTCAAAATGTATGAGGAGTTCACCAGGTTGTACCAGACCAGGAAGCAGAGACAGAACCAGAAGTTCTCTGACCGGGCCGACAGATTCAACGAGAGCTCCGAGAAGCTCTTTGATGTGTTCTGCACAGACACGCAAATGAGGGATAAACTGGAGGAGTACAGTGGGATAAAAATGACCAGCATCGAGTGGAAGTTTCTGGAAGACCAGAGGAGTGAGAGAAAAATGTACTACGAAGATTTCACAGAGAAGCAGGAGCTAAAGATGATGGAGAGGAGGCAGAAGATCCAGTGTCTGGAGCACTTCAGGAAGCTCGCCAGGGAGGAGAAGGAGGGGAGCAAGGCGAAGGTGAAGGACCGGGGCGAGGAGCAGTCGGACGAGGGCACGAGCGTGGACGAGTCGTACCCCGCGGAGGAGGAGAACGGCGGCGCCCCGGCCTTCTCGCTGCGGGGCCGGCGCAAGCGCCGCTGCACCGCCAGCACCACCGCGCCCCTGGAGGGCGAGCACATACGGATGAGCATCCGCAGGGTCAGGCCTGGCTTCTACGAGACTGTGGAGAAGGTGAAGAACTGCTAGCGCCCGCCGCGGGGTGGGCACGGCTGCTGGAGTGCCAGGGGCAATGCACACCGGAGGCAAGTTTGAAACCCCACCACCCACTGGAAGTGATTGTTGTGGATCCCCAAGCCAGAGCTCAGGAACATCCTGCCTCCAAGGGAAGAGGGCTGGGATGATGACAACTGCAGCAAGGACTAAACCACGTGGATTTGGAAGGATGAGCTGTTAGTGGCCAACAATGCCAAGGCTCAAACGTGGCTGATGATCCAAAGTTATGTAGCGTGTAAGCCTCTTCTTCCAAAGTCCTGTCTGCATCCATGGAGTTTGGAAGTCTCTCAACATTTCTGAGCCGGTGGTGGCCCTAACTGTACAAACCAGGACTGGGATTTACTGCAGGGTAATAGCTTGGACTCGCTGCTCCCAGAGAATCCACGCGCTGAGGAGCCCTGGCCCCCGTTGGCTGCAGCGGGGCCAAAGGGGCTCGGCCCTTCCCGCAGGAGGCGGTGTTCCTGCAAGGAAGGAAGTGGGTTTGGAGCATGTGTCACCCAGCCCTAGAGAGGCACACTGCGCTTTTGGGAGGGGATTGCTCTCCTGCTCGAGGTGGGGGGAGACATCAGGAGACAGTGGAGTGCTTTGGCTGTAAAAGCATTGGTGATTCTGAATGTTTTATTCTAGATTCTATTTTAATGACGTTTCCTTGGTCAGGATAAACCTTCCTGTAACTGGATGAGTTTTATCATGAAGTCCCTAATATAGGATCTGGGGTGTGAATCCTAAATGAAGTGGTAATGTTTTATTTTTGGGGGGAGGGGGGTAACGTAGGGGGAAATGCAAATTGCATTATTTAGTTTTAAGATGAGAGTAATTTTATAAACTATTATCCTGCCTTTTTAGGATATAGGGAAGAAAAAGCTTTCCCAGGTGTGGGTAGCTGTAGTGTTCTCAGCAGCAGGCACCTGGATCTGGGCTTGCTTTTCCACCCCCGAGGTCGTGCAGACCAGCAGTGGGGAGATGGTAGTTTTCCACCCAGAGATTGTTTGAAAAAAGCGTGACCCTCTTGCCCACGTACATCCTGAGCAGTGACGTGTCTGTGACTTTTTTAGTTAGAGTTGCTTTACTGGTTTTTAAAGATGAGAGATTTGAACTTCCAGTGAAACCCAGTGCTAGAGATCTCTCTGGTGAGGTTCCCAAACCTTGCCAGACCACACTGAAAATGGAAAACCCCCAAGTCTCTATTTGTCCACAAAAGATCTCTGGTAGAAAAAGCGCAAACTTGCCTGGTTTTAAAATTTACCTTCCAGTGTGAATGTTGGTTTCCCCACTCCAGTATCTCAGCTTTTCCCCATTTCTTTCCTCTCCGTCCTGCACATCATTTACTGACATTAACTCGTGCTCTTTCATTCTTTGGCTTTTGCTCCCTTTAACAATAAATGCATGTACAAATAATTTTGACAGTTCCTTTCCTTTTGATGAATCAGTGCTCGGACTGCTTTGAAGTCCTATGCCAAAGGAGGAAGGGAACACAGAGCAGCTCTGGTGCCGTTGGGCAGGGCTGGGCCGGCGGCCCCAGCTGTGCTGCCCCGGCAGGCCCAGTGTCCCGAGCGCTGCGGCGCCTTCCCGGGGCCCTGGCTCCTCAGGCAAGGCCGGGGCCTCGCTCTGTGTCTGAGTAGCTCTCCGTGGAAGATGCTCCAGGATGTGTAGTGCCGTGTGTTCACATCACTCTAGAGTTACAGGTTTGATTGCAGCACCCCCAGCCTGCGCTGCCTGACACTTGCAGCCCTCCCTCTCTCCTCTGATGTGCTTCACTGACTTCCCCGTGCAAATTATGTCACGTTTAAACTATTTGCCTTCCAGCCCTGAAGTGCTGGACTTGAGCCTCTCACTGGGCCTCTACACCAGCAGCTCTGTTTCAGCAGGGAATATAGCCAAGCTCGGACCTCGCCGAAGTAGAAGTATTTTAATAACTGCTGTAACCCCCCTTGTATTACAGATATAGCTGACAGTATAAATGCTTGTGTGTAAAGCAAATTCACCGGGGTTGGCTCGGATATGGAACACAACTGTATAGTGCTTTATGATTTTCAGGGATTCAGGGAATTTAAGGTTGTCAAATCTGACTTCCTGTTTATCACAGGGAATTACATTTCATTCAGAAGCCCCACAGTCAACCTGCTGGTCTCAGCTGAACTGACGTGTCTGACAGATAGTCGAGCCGAAGGTGTCAGCAGTCTGCTGCCTTCCTCATTGCCTACTTAGTGATTTGCCACCTTCACTGTTTCAGAAAATAAACAGAAGCAAAAAGAAGTCCGACCATCTTCTAGGCTGGGATTCTCTTCACACCATCCTGTGCAGGCTGAGCAGTGTGTATTGCACTGAAATCATATTTGGGGTTTTTTAACTGGGTTTGACTGTGGATAGAGCCAAAGCCTGGCTCTGTTTCTGCTGCAACAGGGGGGAAAATTTCTAAATCGTGTATTCTGATTACTCTTCTTTGGGACCATGGTGCCTTTTTAATCAGGACAGCAAATCTTGTCCCAGGATTCTGTACTTTTGTACGTTAACAGTTGTTGACTTTCCTTTTTGGTGTGTCCCAAATAAATTAATGTAACATACTTCTGGGCCTTTGTTTCTTCTTTCTAAAGGGTGAGAAAAGAGGAAACTGAAGCTAAAATAAATCTTCTCTGCTTCAGCTCTCCCTCATGGGCCCTGCAGGAGCAGCTCTGGTGTGTGCAGGGGGACTGTGTGGGGCAGTGGTAGGGAAGCTGCTGGAAATGGGAATCTAATCTGGAGCAGCCCAAGGTGAGGGGGGGAGGAATGAAACCTCTGCACGTGTTGGCAGCATTTCATGTGGGCTCTCGGTGCCTCAGGTGCGGGATTGGCATTGGACACACAAGGCCTGATCCCACACGTGGGTGTCCCACTGCTGCCTGTTCTGTCCTGGCTCAGGGATTTGGTGTGGGAGATGAGTGAGGGGCAGGGGTGTCCAAGAGACACACAGGGCCATGGTTTGCACCACAGACCCTCAGTGAGGAAGGGAAGTGGTAAAAGAGGAAATGCTGGAAAGGGCGTGTTTGCTTCAATGGATTTTGCAGGAGGGAACCAAGTGCATCCCAGGGATATGGACACTTTTTCTGGACACTGAGTCACTGATTTAACTGGGCATTTAGAGAGAAATACCTTCAGCCTTTGCACCCTGAACCTTTCTGCAAGAGGAGCAGTAGAAAGGAGAGGACACCCTGAAACCTCTGTGCCCCAGCCTGGGACCCTGGCAGCCAGGCTGGGTACGTGCCAGCCCCAGGGACATTTTACACCTCTCTGCAAGCAAAAGCTGCCTTTTCACAGTCCTTGCAAGTTCCTAAGAGCTGCCCAGGCCAGCCCTAAGTGAGGTCGCACAGAAATCCCCGGCTGATCTCCCAGCACGGATGTGCCGCTTCACGTGGCACTCAGCAACCACTGCCCTGCCTCCTGCCCAGCTCAGAGAGGGGAAGGAATGCAAAAAACAACCCAAAATGCAAATCATGGCACTACTGAGCAGGCTGGATGTGGAAAACAATGTCTGTGACTCAGCACAGAAAGAGTCACAAAGCTGGAATTTAAACAAGTCCAAGCCCAGCACTGTGGGCACACCGCTCATGGAGTGCTGGGCAGTGCAGGGCCTGCTCACGAAGGAGGTGGATGGGCACAGGGAAGGGGAAGTGCCAGAACCTTGTCCTAGAGCTGCCAGACAGCTTAACATGGGGTGACAAGGACAAATTGTGGCACTCTGGGGGAAAAAGTTTTCCCGGGAAGGGTGGAGAGGACACGTGAAGCTGTGTCATGAGTGTGCTTGTGCTCAGCACCTGTGGAGCTCCACTGGAGCTCCAGGAGGGGAGATGAACCTCCTGCTTCACCTGACACCCACACTGTCTCCTGGAGGAGAGACACATGGCACGGCAGTGGCAAAGAGCTGGGCACCGAAATCCTGGTGTGGGGCACAGGAACCCAGCACGACACCTGCCTGACCCCCATCCCACTGCTCCCGCTGCCTCCATGGGAAGAGTCCCCCTGAATGCTGGAAGGAGCTGCAGCGAGCGTTTCCTGGGCAAACATGTTAATTCATTAACCAGACACACTCGAGGGTATTTCCTGCTCTTGTGGAGGGTGTTGTCTTGTTATTCTTCCCGAGTTTCTGGACAGCAGATGCTTCCTCCTGGCATGGCTTTGGAGCCAGTACATGCTGCTCCCGTCTCTTAAGACTTACTAATCCAAGTTCCTCCCCATATTGCCTGGCCCTGCCTCACAGAGTCCACTCTCATACCCTCTCTGGTCCCGCTGAGGTTGGGCTGTGCTGTTCCCAGGGGGAGCCAGCTGGGGTGGGGTGGGTACAGCTCTGCACAGCCACAGCAGCCCTGCCAGAGCCTGCTGGGCAGCAGGAACACACCTCCAGAGGGAGGGAGGTTGGAAATTGATCCTGGGGAAATCCAAACGTTTGGAAATTGGGGTAGGAGCTTTCTCTTTGCTGGCCACATGGTACAGAGCAGCCAGGCCCCCAAACTTCCCTATGCCAGATGCTTTCAAGGAGACAGTTTCCCCCTGGCTCCAAGTTTTTGACAGCTGCAGATATCCAGTGAAATCACTTTATTGCCCAGTTTTGGGGAGGGGGTGAGGACAGAGCTGCAGGCAGCACCTGCCCAGACATTCTCGGGGCTTGCTCATGGCGCTGCCATGGCTCTGGCAGCCTGTTTGCTTGAATGGTACCCCAACAACCTTTTGCGGAGTTCCTTTGTGAGTCAGCGCTTCCTGCTGCCCCGCTGAAGTTGCCTACAACCTCAGGAGACCAGCTGGCTCAGCCTGCAGCAGCATTTCACACCTTGTTTGCACAAAAATTACTCCCATCTCGGCTCCCCCCTCTCCGGAATGCATTAATTATGCAAGCACGGCTGACGGTTTCTCCTGCAGCACCCTCAGGGTGTTCCCATCTTGGGACAAACCGCATTGCCCTTCAGAGACGGCGGGAAGGGGAGGAAGGGTGTGGGGGGAGGACCAACTCAAAGACCTGACTATCTTTTGTTGTATCACGTCTCTTCTGTTGGGCCGTTCCACCTTTACTTCCCACATGCTCCTGCAGTTTCTGGATGAGAGAGGCAGGTGCTGTGGAAAGTCCAGAAATTTTGGCAGACGCCTGGCTGACCACAGGGACGAGAGGCGGGAGCCCCTGTGCCAGCACCCCTAGGACCTCCTCTCCACGGCCCCCCCCGCGTGGTTCCTGCGGGGCCGGGTGTCCTTCAGCGGCAGCAAAGCTGAGCTGCCCTCACGCCGGCTGTGGGTGCCCGGCGCTGGGAGCAGCCTGACCCCACACCCGCGGCTGGGGGGAACAGGGGGCAGAGGGGCAGGCCCGGCCGCGCCTCAGGGACAGCGGAGCGGGAGGGACGGCTCAGGTTACCGGCCTCGTACAGAAATGAGTGTGGCCACAGGAGCGCGGGTTGGTGTGTGCTGCCCGCGGCCGAGCGGTATTAAAGGGGAGCGGCGGGGCGGCCGCGGGGCTCCTCCGGCAGCCTCCCCTCGGCATGGCAGGGCCGGGGGGCGACGGGGACCTGCGGCGCCTGCTGAAGCTGCACCGCACCGAGATTGCCATGGCGGTGGACGACGTGTTCCCGCTGCTGCACGGCCTGGCTGACCACGACGTGGTCCCTGAGCACATCTTCAAGGTGAGGCGGCGGGGTGGGAGGAGATAGTCATGCCATGGGGGCCGGGGCCGGCTGGCAGCACCGGGACGCGTGCCAGCGGGCCGTGGTGGGACTGGCAGGAGACGCTGAGCCGGGCGGAGCAGGAGGGCTCCCAGCGCGCCTTCCACGCGCTGCTCACCTGGCTGCTGGGCCGTGACGCCGCCGCCCTGCGCGACTTTTGGGCCGTGCTCTTCAAGGACTACAACCTGGAGCGCTACACCCGGCTCCGGCCCGTCCGCAGCGCCTTCCCCAGAGGTACTGGGAGGTCAGGAGGGACGGGTACCCCGGGCCCTGCCGGTGGGCAGAGGTGGCACCCCGGGCTAGCCACACCTGTCCCAGGCCCTGTCCCTCTTCCAGAGGCAGAGCTGGGTCGGCAGCGCCGTGGCAGGTGTCCGTCCCCCGGCCCCACGGCACCGGCCCCACACAGATCCCAAGGCAAGAGGAAAGCCCCCGAGGAGCGGGACAAGGCCCGGGCGGCACAGCCCTCGCCACGGCACGCTGCCAGTCCTGGTATGGAGACCCAGAGTGGGATGGAGATGGGCTGGGGTGCTGGGGGATGCCCGAGGTGTAGCAGGGTGCTGTGGCCCCTGATGCCCACCCTGAAACGCTGCAGGGCCCCTGGCAAAGGCAAAGACTGTGAAGAAGCCGGAGGGCGCAGATATCCCCCGCACCCCTCGTGCCGGCGGTGAGTGTCAACCCCCCCAGGGCAGCATCTGCCTGTGCACCCTGTTTGCCCACAGCCGTGGGCAAGGGGCTGCTCACCCCACTGAGCCCCCCTCACCCGCAGCCCTCCAGGCAGTGGCTGCCTCAGTGCAGAGAGCAGTGGCTGTGGCGGGTGGTGAGGTGCCCGGCAGCCGTGGGGCCATCGAGGGCATCCTCATCAAACACGTGCTGGAGCCAGGTAGGTGCAGCCCAGCTCAGCCCAGCCACCTCCTGCCCAGTTAAGCTCCCACATTCAGGAGCCACCCTCATACAAGAGGGGAAGCTGGAGCTGTCTCTGCCCCCTCTTGCAGGCAGCTCCAGGACAGGCAGCAGAGCTGGGGATGAGCCATATGCCCAGGCTGCCTGCGATGAGCCAGGGACCAGGAGCAGAAGCCACAGCCTGAAGCCCCCTGCCCAGCCCAAAGCATCCCAAAGTGTACAGATGCCCACCTGTTTTCAACCCCCATTGTGCAGCTACCAAGGCTGTGGCAGGGGGTTGTCCTTGCATGGCATCATGGCCATGGCCTGGGGGTGTCCCCCTGTGCGAGCACTGCCTTTCCAACCCTTTTCTTTTCTCACCCATAGAACAGGGAACCCCAGCTGCACCCCCAGGGCCAGCTGCCAGTGCCCACCATGTACAGCCAGGACCCTGTGCCCCACCAGGTGAGCCCTGGGCATGGCACCTGCTGCACCCCCGAGAGGAACTGTTTGGGTGTCCCTGGCATGTTCACTGACCTGGCCTAGCACAGGAAATCCAGGGATCAACTACTGGGTGGGTCACCAGGTTACAACCTCCAAGAGACAGGCAATTCACACCCTGAAGGCGTTGGTGTGTTTGGTGCAGGATGAGTGATGCAGGGGGAGGGGGTGAGGGGGACGACAGACACTACCACAGCCACGGTTTCACCCTGCTGGGCGGTGGTGGTGATCTCCTGCCCACTCTCCCGGGGCAGGAGAATGAGGACGAGTGTGCAGTCTGCGGTGATGGCGGTGAGCTTATCTGCTGTGATGGCTGCCCCAGGGCCTTCCACCTCACCTGCCTGGTGCCCCCGCTGCCCCGTGTCCCCAGGTGAGTCCCAGGGTGCCATGGGGACCCCAGAGCACCCTTGCTGTCTCTCACTGCCCTCTCCTACTGTGCAGTGGGACGTGGCAATGTGGCTCCTGCGTGACGAGTGTGGCTGAGCCGGACCGGCTGCCAGAGGCAGATGTGGCTGTGCAGCAACCCCCCGAGATCCCAGGGCATGAGGGATGTGACACCCGGCTGGGTGGAGCTGATGGAAGCATCTGTAGCCGGTGCTTCACCAGGATCCCCACCCCCTGCCACTGCCCTGCTTCCAGTGTGGAGCTCAGGTGAGCCCTCATCAGTCCCCACATCCCAGCCTTAATTCCTCCCCTGGAGGGTCTCCCCTCATGGTCTGTGTCACCCCTGAGGGTGTAGGGGGCTGTTGCTCTGCATGTCCTGCGCGGGCACCCCGGACACAGGCAGCCTGGACACCACCACAGCAACCAGTGACCAACCGGCCCAGGCAACCAAGGTCGGTACACCCAGCACCAGGGAACGCCGGGAGAGCGGGTACAGGGAGCGGTGAGGGGCAGGAATGGTGCTTCAGGTTGGGACAGGGATGGGCCAACACTAGGTGGAGGCAAGGTAGTGAAGCTGTGCTCGGGAAACATGAGCTGAGGCTGCACCAGGTGGGGGACTGAACCTGGGTATTAACCCTGGCCAAAAGGAGTGCGGGCTGAGGGCAGACAAGGGACCTGACAGGACATCTCTCCTCCCACAGGCAGAGGAAGGAGCCCTCAGCAGTGACCCTGTGCTGAGCCGGGATGAGCTTGATGCGCTCCTGGGTGAGGTGAGACTGTCGGACACCAACAGGCAGAGTCGATCCAAAGGGCACCGTGTCTTTGGTGTGACCCACAGGCCACTCTGGGCTGTGGGTCAGGTGGGGGGTGCCTGAAGAACCCAGGGGAGCAGGACGTGGGATGGAAAGGGAAAATGAACCCTTGGGGATGTCCTGCAGGGCACGTGGGATGGGATCTTGCAGTGGGCATTCCAGAGCATGGCACGGCCCCTCGCAGACACACACGGGCTCCGTGCCTAGTGCTGACTGTCCAGGTGGCAGCACCAACGTCACAGGAGAGCATGAGCAGCCCCTGGAGCAGCTGTGCCACAGGAGGAACACAGGCATCATGGCACCTCCAGAAACCTGACAACATAAACCACAGAGCCTCACAGAACACCACAAAGCACATGGACATGGCCTAAGGACAGATAACAGCCACTGACCCTCAACAGAGCACAGGCACAGTGTAAATGACACAAAGCAATTGAAACAATATCAAAGAAGTATATTAGAATAGAAAAATAAAATTAAAAAAATCAAAAAAGCCAGAAAATACTCGCAAAAAAAACAGTTAGGAAACAACAGTAACAGCTATAAAAAATAGCAAAAATAAGAGTGAGGGAAAAATACTGCAACATGAAAACAAAACACAACATGACAAAAGCCTACAGCACCCGGTATTCCCAGGCGGTCTCCCATCCAAGTACTAACCGGGCCCGACCCTGCTTAGCTTCCGAGATCAGACAAGATCGGGCGTTCTCAGGGTGGTATGGCCGTAGGCACCCCTCAGCCCCACAGCGCCGCTCTTGACCACGCACAACGTGCTCCCGTCCACCAAAAAACCACTGCTCCACCACGTCGCAGTCACCACCGCCCACAATACCCGCCCCTAGCCCGGACCTCGACCCACGCGCTGACCCCCAGACGCCGCTCCGCCCTCAGGGCTCCTGGCCCTGCCCAAATGCCCCGACGGCAAAAGAAAGATCACTGCCTGACACCGGGGGGCAAAAGCCTACAGCACCCGGTATTCCCAGGCGGTCTCCCATCCAAGTACTAACCGGGCCCGACCCTGCTTAGCTTCCGAGATCAGACGAGATCGGGCGTTCTCAGGGTGGTATGGCCGTAGGCACCCCTCAGCCCCACAGCGCCGCTCTTGACCACGCACAACGCGCTCCCGTCCACCCAAAAACCACTGCTCCACCACGCCGCGGTCACCGCCGCCCACAATACCCGCCCCTAAGCCCGGACCTCGACCCACGCGCTGACCCCCAGACGCCGCTCCGCCCTCAGGGCTCCTGGCCCTGCCCAAATGCCCCGACGGCAAAAGAAAGATCACTGCCTGACACCGGGGGGCAAAAGCCTACAGCACCCGGTATTCCCAGGCGGTCTCCCATCCAAGTACTAACCGGGCCCGACCCTGCTTAGCTTCCGAGATCAGACGAGATCGGGCGTTCTCAGGGTGGTATGGCCGTAGGCACCCCTCAGCCCCACAGCGCCGCTCTTGACCACGCACAACGCGCTCCCGTCCGCCCAAAAACCACTGCTCCACCACGCCGCGGTCACCGCCGCCCACAATACCCGCCCCTAAGCCCGGACCTCGACCCACGCGCTGACCCCCAGACGCCGCTCCGCCCTGAGGGCTCCTGGCCCTGCCCAAATGCCCCGACGGCAAAAGAAAGATCACTGCCTGACACCGGGGGCAAAAGCCTACAGCACCCGGTATTCCCAGGCGGTCTCCCATCCAAGTACTAACCGGGCCCGACCCTGCTTAGCTTCCGAGATCAGACGAGATCGGGCGTTCTCAGGGTGGTATGGCCGTAGGCACCCCTCAGCCCCACAGCGCCGCTCTTGACCACGCACAACGCGCTCCCGTCCGCCCAAAAACCACTGCTCCACCACGCCGCGGTCACCGCCGCCCACAATACCCGCCCCTAAGCCCGGACCTCGACCCACGCGCTGACCCCCAGACGCCGCTCCGCCCTGAGGGCTCCTGGCCCTGCCCAAATGCCCCGACGGCAAAAGAAAGATCACTGCCTGACACCGGGGGCAAAAGCCTACAGCACCCGGTATTCCCAGGCGGTCTCCCATCCAAGTACTAACCGGGCCCGACCCTGCTTAGCTTCCGAGATCAGACGAGATCGGGCGTTCTCAGGGTGGTATGGCCGTAGGCACCCCTCAGCCCCACAGCGCCGCTCTTGACCACGCACAACGCGCTCCCGTCCGCCCAAAAACCACTGCTCCACCACGCCGCGGTCACCGCCGCCCACAATACCCGCCCCTAAGCCCGGACCTCGACCCACGCGCTGACCCCCAGACGCCGCTCCGCCCTGAGGGCTCCTGGCCCTGCCCAAATGCCCCGACGGCAAAAGAAAGATCACTGCCTGACACCGGGGGCAAAAGCCTACAGCACCCGGTATTCCCAGGCGGTCTCCCATCCAAGTACTAACCGGGCCCGACCCTGCTTAGCTTCCGAGATCAGACGAGATCGGGCGTTCTCAGGGTGGTATGGCCGTAGGCACCCCTCAGCCCCACAGCGCCGCTCTTGACCACGCACAACGCGCTCCCGTCCGCCCAAAAACCACTGCTCCACCACGCCGCGGTCACCGCGCCCACAATACCCGCCCCTAAGCCCGGACTCGACTCCACGCGCTGACCCCCAGACGCCGCTCCGCCCTGAGGGCTCCTGGCCCTGCCCAAATGCCCCGACGGCAAAAGAAAGATCACTGCCTGACACCGGGGGCAAAAGCCTACAGCACCCGGTATTCCCAGGCGGTCTCCCATCCAAGTACTAACCGGGCCCGACCCTGCTTAGCTTCCGAGATCAGACGAGATCGGGCGTTCTCAGGGTGGTATGGCCGTAGGCACCCCTCAGCCCCACAGCGCCGCTCTTGACCACGCACAACGCGCTCCCGTCCGCCCAAAAACCACTGCTCCACCACGCCGCGGTCACCGCCGCCCACAATACCCGCCCTAAGCCCGGACCTCGACCCACGCGCTGACCCCCAGACGCCGCTCCGCCCTGAGGGCTCCTGGCCCTGCCCAAATGCCCCGACGGCAAAAGAAAGATCACTGCCTGACACCGGGGGCAAAAGCCTACAGCACCCGGTATTCCCAGGCGGTCTCCCATCCAAGTACTAACCGGGCCCGACCCTGCTTAGCTTCCGAGATCAGACGAGATCGGGCGTCTCAGGGTGGTATGGCCGTAGGCACCCTCAGCCCCACAGCGCCGCTCTTGACCACGCACAACGCGCTCCCGTCCGCCCAAAAACCACTGCTCCACCACGCCGCGGTCACCGCCGCCCACAATACCCGCCCCTAAGCCCGGACCTCGACCCACGCGCTGACCCCCAGACGCCGCTCCGCCCTGAGGGCTCCTGGCCCTGCCCAAATGCCCCGACGGCAAAAGAAAGATCACTGCCTGACACCGGGGGCAAAAGCCTACAGCACCCGGTATTCCCAGGCGGTCTCCCATCCAAGTACTAACCGGGCCCGACCCTGCTTAGCTTCCGAGATCAGACGAGATCGGGCGTTCTCAGGGTGGTATGGCCGTAGGCACCCCTCAGCCCCACAGCGCCGCTCTTGACCACGCACAACGCGCTCCCGTCCGCCCAAAAACCACTGCTCCACCACGCCGCGGTCACCGCCGCCCACAATACCCGCCCCTAAGCCCGGACCTCGACCCACGCGCTGACCCCCAGACGCCGCTCCGCCCTGAGGGCTCCTGGCCCTGCCCAAATGCCCCGACGGCAAAAGAAAGATCACTGCCTGACACCGGGGGCAAAAGCCTACAGCACCCGGTATTCCCAGGCGGTCTCCCATCCAAGTACTAACCGGGCCCGACCCTGCTTAGCTTCCGAGATCAGACGAGATCGGGCGTTCTCAGGGTGGTATGGCCGTAGGCACCCCTCAGCCCCACAGCGCCGCTCTTGACCACGCACAACGCGCTCCCGTCCGCCCAAAAACCACTGCTCCACCACGCCGCGGTCACCGCCGCCCACAATACCCGCCCCTAAGCCCGGACCTCGACCCACGCGCTGACCCCCAGACGCCGCCTCCGCCCTGAGGGCTCCTGGCCCTGCCCAAATGCCCCGACGGCAAAAGAAAGATCACTGCCTGACACCGGGGGCAAAAGCCTACAGCACCCGGTATTCCCAGGCGGTCTCCCATCCAAGTACTAACCGGGCCCGACTCCTGCTTAGCTTCCGAGATCAGACGAGATCGGGCGTCTCAGGGTGGTATGGCCGTAGGCACCCCTCAGCCCCACAGCGCCGCTCTTGACCACGCACAACGCGCTCCCGTCCGCCCAAAAACCACTGCTCCACCACGCCGCGGTCACCGCCGCCCACAATACCCGCCCCTAAGCCCGGACCTCGACTCCACGCGCTGACCCCCAGACGCCGCTCCGCCCTGAGGGCTCCTGGCCCTGCCCAAATGCCCCGACGGCAAAAGAAAGATCACTGCCTGACACCGGGGGCAAAAGCCTACAGCACCCGGTATTCCCAGGCGGTCTCCCATCCAAGTACTAACCGGGCCCGACCCTGCTTAGCTTCCGAGATCAGACGAGATCGGGCGTTCTCAGGGTGGTATGGCCGTAGGCACCCTCAGCCCCACAGCGCCGCTCTTGACCACGCACAACGCGCTCCCGTCCGCCCAAAAACCACTGCTCCACCACGCCGCGGTCACCGCCGCCCACAATACCTCGCCCCTAAGCCCGGACCTCGACCCACGCGCTGACCCCCAGACGCCGCTCCGCCCTGAGGGCTCCTGGCCCTGCCCAAATGCCCCGACGGCAAAAGAAAGATCACTGCCTGACACCGGGGGCAAAAGCCTACAGCACCCGGTATTCCCAGGCGGTCTCCCATCCAAGTACTAACCGGGCCCGACCCTGCTTAGCTTCCGAGATCAGACGAGATCGGGCGTTCTCAGGGTGGTATGGCCGTAGGCACCCCTCAGCCCCACAGCGCCGCTCTTGACCACGCACAACGCGCTCCCGTCCGCCCAAAAACCACTGCTCCACCACGCCGCGGTCACCGCCGCCCACAATACCCGCCCTAAGCCCGGACCTCGACCCACGCGCTGACCCCCAGACGCCGCTCCGCCCTGAGGGCTCCTGGCCCTGCCCAAATGCCCCGACGGCAAAAGAAAGATCACTGCCTGACACCGGGGGCAAAAGCCTACAGCACCCGGTATTCCCAGGCGGTCTCCCATCCAAGTACTAACCGGGCCCGACCCTGCTTAGCTTCCGAGATCAGACGAGATCGGGCGTTCTCAGGGTGGTATGGCCGTAGGCACCCCTCAGCCCCACAGCGCCGCTCTTGACCACGCACAACGCGCTCCCGTCCGCCCAAAAACCACTGCTCCACCACGCCGCGGTCACCGCCGCCCACAATACCCGCCCCTAAGCCCGGACCTCGACTCCACGCGCTGACCCCCAGACGCCGCTCCGCCCTGAGGGCTCCTGGCCCTGCCCAAATGCCCCGACGGCAAAAGAAAGA